ATCAGGCTGAGGTAATAATAATGGCAGTCCTCAACCTGCAACTATTAATTTAGTAATTGTTTGAAGCGACAACTGCACTAAAATAGTAACTGGGAACATGCAAACCATTTTCCCACCACAAGTTTTAAATGTCAGCGTTACAGGTGGTCCTCGACTTACGATCATAATTTTCTACTGCCGAGGGAGACAATTTGTTAAGTGAGTTTTTGCCCCGTTTTACCACCTGTCTTGACACATTTGCTAAGTGAAACCAGTGCAGCTGTCAAGCTAGAAGCACGGTTGTTAAGTGAATCTGCCTTCCCCATTGGACTTTGCTCGTGGAGAAGGTCGCAAAAGGGACGACAATTCTGCAACCGTCATAAATATGAGCCAGTTGCCAAGCATCTGAATTTTGATCACGTGGCCGTGGGGAGGCTGCAACGGTCGTTAAGTGTGAAAAATGCTCCTAAGTCACTTTTTTTCCAGAAACTTCAATGGTCACTAAACGAACTGTCGTAAGTCAAAAACTACCAGTAGGCCACCCACGACTGCAGAGACGCCGCAACAGTCGTGAATGTGAAACACAGTCACAAGTCACTTCCTTTCATACCGTTATAACTTTGAACTGTCACTAAACAACGACTACCTGTGTTGCAGTAAGAGCCCAAATTACTCTTAAGTAGAAAAAGAACTTCCTCAAAATATTGACATCTTATCAATGTTGTTGTTGTTAGTTGTGAAGTCGTGTCCGATCCATCGCGATCCCATGGACAACGTTCCTCCAGGCCTTCCTGTCCTCTACCATCCTCCGGAGTCCATTTAAGCTCATGCCAGCTGCTTCGGTGACTCCATCCAGCCATATCATTCTCTGTCGCCCCCTTCTTCTTTTGCCCTCCATCTTTCCCAGCATGAGGCTTTTCTCCAGGGAGTCCTTCTTCCTTCTCATCAGGTGGCCAAAGTATTTGAGTTTCAGCTTCCGGATCTGGCCTTCTAAAAGAGCAGTCAGGGTTGATCTCCTCTAGGACTGACCGGTTGGATGGCCTTGCAGTCCAAGGGACTCAATGCAGGAGTCTTCTCCAGCACCAGAGTTCAAAGGCCTCCATTCTTTGGCGCTCAGCCTTCCTTATGGTCCAACCTTCACAGCCATCCGTTGCAACTGGGAAAACCACAGCCTTGACTAGACGCACTTTTGTTGGCAGGGTGATGTCTCTGCTTTCTAGTAGGCTGTCTATACTTGCCAGAGCTTTGCAATATTCTTTGAAGAACAATCTGCTTGTAAAACAACTTGGAGAAACTGGTTTCCAACACAACAACAAAAACTCAGGCTTGGGAAACTGAGTTATCAGAACATGGTTAATGTCAGCGGGGCAAGAAATATGGCCCATTAGTACCGCTTCCCATTTGTAGGTTAGTTTAGCCCACGGAAGATCAAAACAGCTCGGCCATAAACATGGGAGCAAAATTTTGGGGTATTTCTGCCTACAGGATAGGTAGTCCTCAACTTACAACAGATGTCCGTTCAGTTATAAAGCCACTTCCGACTGCTTTTCACACTTAGGACCACTGCAGCATCCCGGTAGGCAATCAAAATTCAGCACTGCAATAATGCAGTGAAAATAATATGACAAGCTTGTTAATTTTCTTAAATACAGGTAGTCCTCGACTTACGGCAGTTCACTTAGTGACCACTTGAAGTTCCAGTGACACTGAAAAAAGTGGCGTGGCCCGTTTTTCACACCTGCGACTGTTCCAGCATCCCGACGGGCCAGGTGATCAAAATTCAGACACGGCAACTGACTCCTCTATATATGACGGCTGCAGAGTCCCGGGGGTCATGTGATCCCCTTTGCGACCTTCTCACAAGCAAAGGGAAGCCACATTCATTTAACAACCGTGTTACTTACAACTTCAGTGATTCACGTAACAATTGTGGAGAGAAGGGTCGTAAAATGGAGCAAAACTCAATAAATGTCTCCCTTAGCAATTTTGGGCTCAGTTGCTGTCACAAGTCAAGGACTGCCTGGATAGTAACGTTTACTTAGAAATTCTACTATTCTCCGTAAGGCCCAGTTGTAAGTCAATGCTAAACTAGAATACAATTGACACTGAATCCTACAACAATTAATTGTGAGTAAACATGCTTGTGGTTGCCTTTTAAAACCCAACAGGCATTCATTTACACCAGAGTTGCCAAACTTGACAACTTCAAGATTTGTGGACTTCAACTCCCAGAATTCTCCAGCCAGCGTAGCATTGAATTCTGGGAGTTGAAGTTCACAAGTCTTAAAAGTTGTCAAGTTTGAAGACCTCTGGTTTACAACCACAAAAAGCAGAGGGCCCAAAAGAGATGGAGGAGTGATGTCTAAACAAGCATTAACAAAATAAGCTATTTTCTCCTAAAACATCTCTATCGCCGACGTTGGTGAGACACTACTTCAGCATGATTGGTTTACAACAGGGGTGTCCAACCTTAGCAAAGTTAAAACCCATGGACTTCAACTCCCAGCATGGCTCGCTGGGGAATTCTGGGAGTTGAAGTCCACAAGTCTTAACGTTGCCAAGATGGACACAGAATCAACACTGTCCTGTCCAGCTTTCGAATACACAGAACGTTTCCTGTATTAAGTCCACTTTTTACGCCTAATTCTAAAAGTTAAGCTTTTGCTGATGACAGCATCAAAATGTCCAGTTACTAACTACCCTGTTTCCCTGCAAAATAAGCCCTAGCATGATTTTTCAGGATGCTCATAATATAAACCCTACCTCAGAAATAAACTCCGGTTAGGATCGTCAGCCAGAAGGATACATTTAGTACTGTATTTCCCTGAAAATAAGACCTAACCAGAAAATAAGCCTTAATGCATCTTTTGGAGCAAAAATAAATAAATAAAAATAATACAAGACCTGGTCTTATTTTTGGGGAATTACAGTAATATCAACAGGCCGCCCCCACAACATATTGCAAAGCAAACCTGTCAGTATGTCCTCAATGCAATCTAAGTTGCCTCTTTTATCAAGGTTATTTATTACTAGTCTAATCGGAATACTGGACGTTCAGCCCCAAACGGGTTGCGCACGAATAGCTTTTGCAAAATCACATTAATGGATGGTTCTGCGAGAACATCCAAGGGACTCAGTCGGTTCGGACCGGTTTGGGCGAACCGGTTCGTTCCGACGATCAGTTGGGCTCGCTCTCCTGCCCCTGCGCTTTACTTACCTATATCGTCTCAGCTGATTTCCGCAGCAGAGTGGATCGCTGCGCCTCAGCTATGTGACTCCCCAGAATTATTTGTGGAAGGTAACTTTTGTTAAAACTTTGTGCACGCGCACAAAGCACGCAATCATCGAAACGGTTGTTAAACCAACAGGATCCCACCATTGGACTCGCCCATGAGTCAGTTTACAAGGTCTAACTCTATACAACCACTTATAGGTATCCGTGGCACGACAAAACCGCGGTCCACTAAAGCGCGCCCGATTAAAGCGCGTCGCTGACGTCAGCAGCAGTGTGACAACAGCGACCGCGGAGAAAGAAGGGCGCTTTAAAAAGCGCTTTGAAAGCAAGCCGATTCAAGTTAAGGTAAGGGTTAGGTTAGGGTTAGGTTTAGGGTTAGGGTTAGGTTAAGGGTTAGGTTTAGGGTTAGGTTTAGGGTTAGGTTTAGGGTTAGGTTTAGGGTTAGGTTTAGGGTTAG